GTAGTAGGAGGTAATCCTGTTTCCACCAGAAGGTCATTTTATTCAGAAAGAGCAACTCATTCTTAATTCTGTTTAGGATGGCTACCTTCAATATTCTGAAAATGCTAGCTTGTAGCAAAAGACACTGAATAGTTTTTGGACTGAAGTTGCCTGTAAGTTTTAGTAACTGAATAAATGCAGACAGCAAATGGATGCATGCATTTTGATCTTCTCCTGTGCTGTAGCTTCTGGGCTTTAAAGTTTCCTTCTAGATGTATTTGTGTATGTTCTGGAGTCTTGGTGGGCACACATACATTCAGAAAAGCTAGAGGAATCCTAAGATGGTACCCTCAACTTAAAATTAGTCACTTAGTCACCAGTTTTAGCCACTTAGAGCTAATAATAATTTGATTCAGTTTCAGTTTCTTGGCAGACTAACAATAAACAAATTGTTCTCTTTTCTTCAGGATCATAGCACAATAAATCTTAGGATGGCAGTTACAATGGCCCATGAGCTGGGTCATAATCTGGGCATGCATCATGATGAAGATCAGTGTAATTGTACTGGATGCATTATGTCTGCCGTGCTAAGGTAAGGATTGAGGAAAACTTTTAATGTCTTTCCAATCAAGTTATTTTTAAATGGTTGCAATTAATTGTTAAATTAAATATACTGAGAATTTACAAAAATGAAATGGCCAGGGAGCTACAAAAAAGAGGGTTTTGGTCATTTGTTTTGTCACTTTACCATGTGTGGTTAAAATGTGTCGTATTTAAAAAGGTAGAACTGTTCTCAACAATTGAATAGCCAGCATTCAGTAGCTTCCTCCAAAACACCAGAGTTTAAAGAAACAGCGTAGGAAGGATAGCCAAAGAAACCAAATATTAATATCTGTGATGGATAAAAGAGAAAACCAAGTTAGACGTTAAAGATTTTCCTAAAGTGAAAAGCAGAATGGGAAAAAAAATATTCTGAACCAGGCAACAGCAGGAAGAAAAAGATAAAGTAGCATCCTTGGGGTTTTCCTGCCTCGCCCTTTCATCAAGGTAGAATATGTTACATCTCTGTCATATATTGCAGTCTTCTGAAATCAGCAGGTAGCAACATACAGGAAGTCATTGACTTACAACCATTTGTTTAGCAACCGTTCAAAGTTACAATGGCCCTGAGAACAGTGACTTACGACCGGTCCTCGCAATTACAGCCATCGCAGCCTCCCTTCAGTCACAGAATCATGTATTTATGACACTTGCAGCATCCTTCATTCCTGGGATCCTCATTTGGGACTTTCCCAGCTGTCTTCCCATATGCAAAGCCAATGGAGCAAGCTGGGTCCCTTAATGACTGTGTGGTTCACTTAACAAAGTGGGAAAACTGGTTGTAAAACTGAGCACGACTCACTTAACAACTGGCTTGCTGGGCAATGGAAATTCTGGTTTTAGTTGTGACAGCAAGTCAAAGACTACCAATATTTTCTTCTGGGTGCAAGTTTAGCCCTTACTTCATCAAGAAGGAAAAAGAAAGCAAAATCTTCTCAGCAATTGTCTGTTGCAAAACTCCCCATAACTTTTGTGTAAGCGTTTTGTGTAGGCTCAGTGAGCAGCCCAGCTATTGATCAATTTCTGGTTTCTTCGGCTAAAGCCCGAGGACGTCTTTGCCTCCCATTTCATGCAATGGCAAGGAGGCCAGGAAGTATGGAGAATGCCACGTAGCCTTTCCTGTCCTTCCTGAAGTAGTCCCAGGCATCATGATTACTCTTTAATACTTCTAGACACTTCATGGTGTTTTGTATGGAAGACTTTGCTTAGAAAACAATTTTGCTCAATTAACCCCACCAAAGGGGTCTGGTGCAACTTTGACCTTGGAAGAAGACCACCTTGTCTATTTAATGGCCACCAGCAGATTCTCTTTGCGTTCTTGTTTCGACCCCCTGCAATGATTATATTCCTAATGATTTGAATTAACATTAGGAAGGTGCTTTGCTGGGCTTAGGATGCCATGTTTGCATCTATTTAAGTATTCAGCTTCAGAGCTCAGTGACATGTTGCTGATATTATCCCTTTTCAACAAAACAAATGAACAACAAATACTTTAAGAAAATAGAGAGTTGGCATACTTAGCTCTCTATTCATTGTTATAAAAAGTACAATCCCTCCAAAAGAAGAAAAGGAAAACTGGATCAAAATTCCACTGTTTTCCCTTCAATTATATTATTGTCCTTCCACAGAGAGGCTGACTAAAAATGAAAATAAAAGGCAGCTCACTCAAACACAAGACGCAGCTCAATCAACTAATATCACGTGGAGTTCTCATTGCAAATCTATTTTATTAAAAAAGAAAAGAAAGTTAGTGGAATTAAACTGAGGGAGCATAATCTGGGATTACGATCATTCTCTAATCTATTTTGTTAGCTTTATTGGGAAAAAAACCCACTGCATTTCTTCATTAGCCACCCTTTTTCCATCTTATATGTTTTTGCAATGAATTCTGTTCCTAGTCCAAATATAGATGATGTCATGGTCTTATTTTGGTTCATCTCTACAGCCGTCAACCTTCCAAACTGTTCAGCAATTGTAGTAAGAATGATTATCAGACGTTTCTTATAAATCGTAGACCACAATGCATTCTCAATGAGCCCTTGAGAACAGATATTGTTTCACCTCCAGTTTGTGGAAATGAACTTTTGGAGGTGGGAGAAGAATGTGACTGTGGCTCTCCTAGAGTAAGTTTTTTTTTAATCAACAAAAATGATTTGAAGAATTTTCTCAAAAATGGGATTCCTTGAAAAATGATCTGGCTTTCTAAGTGGTTTCAGTCATCCGAGGGGTTGGTTTATAAATGGCATAGGTTTGTGCCATTTATGTGCATGCATGTATGAAATGGTTTCTTGGATTTGGTGAACCAGTTGTAGAGGAATGGAGAACTGGTATCTCACTACCATTTGGGGAAGACTGCGTATTTTTAAAAATGGGTGATTGACAACTCCAAATAAATCCTTCTCTCCTGAAAACTCCTATTTTGTTGACATGGCCACATTATCTGTCCCACTATTTTCTTGAGCTGCTTTCTCCCATATCTGATGATCTTTAATCTATGCTCTGATCTTAATATTATTTTTATAAGAACAGTAATTTAGTGTTCTTTTTATATTGTTAAATACACTTGTAATGGTCTGTGAGAATGTCCTTGAGAGACAAAAGAAGGAGGAAACATCTACTCAATGATCATATAAGAAGTAGATTAGCCTGCAGAAGGAAT